TTTTTTTCGCGTAATTAAGAATTTTCGAATTTTAGCTATAGCTGCTGCCGCTGCCGCCGCGGCTGATTTTAGGCGCGTACTATTTTTAACAAATTTATTTACAAACATTAAATATATCATTAAAGCGGAACTATTTAAATAAATTATGGAAAATAAAGCGCCGCGTGGGCGTCAACAACATGTACGTACGTAAGTATACGTACAACTACATATATGTATATGTTGTATACTGCCAGCAGTCACTGTTGCTGTCGGCGAGTGTGAAAAGTTTTGTAGCATTTCTCTGAGGCCTCATTAGCCCTGACATGCACTTGATGCAGGGCCGCTTGTCAGTTCTTCTTCTTGTTGTTGTTTTGAGCAAGTGTCTCGAAAGATTAGGCCAGGTCAAGTTAGCTCTCTCTCTCTCTCTCTCTATCTCTCTGGTTCTCTCCCTCGCTGTTACTTGGAGCGCTGTCGTCTATCCATACTGTGCACACGCCTCTTTTTGCTAAAAATATATTCAGACATCGCCTGCTGGACCCAGTGGCCAAACAATCAAAGAATTATACGAGCTTTTATAAATAAACCCAAAACAAAAAGAAAATCAATTAGATATACATATATATATGTACTTATATAAGTATATTCCTATATATATTCTACATACTCTACTTTGCGTCGCATGAAAAAATCACACATATACTTATATACATTTATATGTATTTTTATACATATTTATTTATTTTTTTCTATACATTTATATATAGCTCATTTTGTTATTCATTCTATTGCTTATTATTATATTGTTTTATTTTATTTATTTTTTTTTTTATTACTGTATTTTTATTGTTTTTATTCTGTTCTGTTTTCCTTTCACTTGCTGTCGTTGTGGGGGCGCAACGGAAATTTCGTTTTACACTCACTTTATACTACTTAGATATTTGATTTTATTATATTGTTGTTTTTACTAGGCGCAAATGCGCAAACGGAAGACTTTGTCTGGCAATTAATTGTGGTTAGAGCTATATTATAATAGTGACTAATCAATAGATGTGTTATTTGAATATACATATGTATTACATTCAAATACAAGTTTTTATGAATTAAAACAATTTTAATTCTTAACATTTGTAATATTTTTGTTTATTTATTTTAATTAAATAATAAATTGATTAATTTCAATATAGTTTTTACAGTATCTATAGCATATTTGTTTATTTATGGTGTAGAAATCTATTGATCTTTACTATGTAGCTAATGCATTAGCCACTCGGAACTCTTTCAATATGTTGGCATTATTAATTGCCTAA